CCTTGGGGTTGAAGTCATCACCTACCAGCGTCTCCTGTAGCACTATGACGTCAGTTTGGTGATCACGGACGTACTGTATGATGTCATTAATTCTATTGCGAACTCCATTACAGTTCCATTGCAGTATAGTGAGATGTTGTTCATTGTGATGATCCATTTTGAGGTTGTTTGTCATCAGCTGCACGTGTGTAATTATTATGTTCACATGTGTCATCGTGTATTCCATGGTGTGTGGTGTTACTGTGTGTACTGGCGTTACTGTGTGTACTGGTGTTACTGTGTGTACTGGTGTTACTGTGTGCACTGGTGTTACTGTGTGTACTGGTGTTACTGTGTGCACTGGTGTTACTGTGTGCACTGGTGTTACTGTGTGTACTGGTGTTACTGTGTGCACTGGTGTTACTGTGTGTACTGGTGTTACTGTGTGCACTGGTGTTACTGTGTGCACTGGTGTTACTGTGTGCACTGGTGTTACTGTGTGTACTGGCGTTACTGTGTGCACTGGTGTTACTGTGTGTACTGTGTGTACTGGTGTTAATGTGTGTACTGGCGTTACTGTGTGCACTAGTGTCACTGTGTGTACTGGTGTTACTGTGTGTACTGGTGTTACTGTGTGTACTGGTGTTACTGTGTGTACTATCGTTACTGTGTGCACTGGTGTTACTGTGTGCACTGGCGTTACTGTGTGCACTAGTGTCACTGTGTGTACTGGTGTTACTGTGTGTACTGGTGTTACTGTGTGTACTGGTGTTACTGTGTGTACTGGTGTTACTGTGTGTACTATCGTTACTGTGTGCACTGGTGTTACTGTGTGCACTGGCGTTACTGTGTGCACTAGTGTCACTGTGTGTACTGGTGTTACTGTGTGTACTGGTGTTACTGTGTGTACTGGTGTTACTGTATGTACTGGTGTTACTGTGTGTACTGGTGTTACTGTGTGTACTGGTGTTACTGTGTGTACTGGTGTTACTGTGTGCACTGGTGTTACTGTGTGCACTGGCGTTACTGTGTGTACTGGTGTTACTGTGTTCACTGGTGTTACTGTGTGCACTGGCGTTACTGTGTGTACTGGTGTTAATGTGTACACTGGTGTTACTGTGTGTACTGGTGTTACTGTGTACACTGGTGTTACTGTGTGTACTGGTGTTACTGTGTGTACTGGTGTTACTGTGTGTACTGGTGTTACTGTGTGTACTGGTGTTACTGTGTGTACTGGTGTTAATGTGTGTACTGGCGTTACTGTGTGCACTAGTGTCACTGTGTGTACTGGTGTTACTGTGTGTACTGGTGTTACTGTGTGTACTGGTGTTACTGTGTGTACTATCGTTACTGTGTGCACTGGTGTTACTGTGTGCACTGGCGTTACTGTGTGCACTAGTGTCACTGTGTGTACTGGTGTTACTGTGTGTACTGGTGTTACTGTGTGTACTGGTGTTACTGTGTGTACTGGCGTTACTGTGTGTACTGGTGTTACTGTGTGTACTGGTGTTACTGTGTGCACTGGTGTTACTGTGTGTACTGGCGTTACTGTGTGTACTAGTGTTACTGTGTGTACTGGTGTTACTGTGTGTACAGGTGTTACTGTGTGTACTGGTGTTACTGTGTGTACTGGTGTTACTGTGTGTACTGGCGTTACTGTGTGCACTGGTGTTACTGTGTGAACTGGTGTTACTGTGTGTACTGGTGTTACTGTGTACACTGGTGTTACTGTGTGTACTGGTGTTACTGTGTGTACTGGTGTTACTGTGTGTACTGGTGTTACTGTGTGTATTGGTGTTACTCTGTGTACTGGTGTTACTGTGTACACTGGTGATACTGTGTGTACTGGTGATACTGTGTACACTGGTGTTACTGTGTACACTGGTGTTACTGTGTACACTGGTGTTACTGTGTGTACTGGTGTTACTGTGTACACTGGTGTTACTGTGTACACTGGTGTTACTGTGTACACTGGTGTTACTGTGTGTACTGGTGTTACTGTGTACACTGGTGTTACTGTGTTCACTGGTGTTACTGTGTACACTGGTGTTACTGTGTGTACTGGTGTTACTGTGTACACTGGTGTTACTGTGTACACTGGTGTTACTGTGTGTACTGGTATTACTGTGTGTACTGGTGTTACTGTGTACACTGGTGTTACTGTGTACACAGGTGTTACTGTGTACACTGGTGTTACTGTGTACACTGGTGTCACTGTGTACACTGGTGTTACTTTGTACACTGGTGTTACTGTGTACACTGGTGTTACTATGTACACTGGTGTTACTGTGTACACTGGTGTTACTGTGTACACTGGTGTTACTGCGTGCTCTGATGTGCTGGTGTCCTGGTTGTGTCTGCTGACGTACCTCGGAAGTAGGTGTTGCATCATCTTGCACCAGACTCTGGCTTGCAGGACCTCTACTTGATGGACACTTCTGTTGCAGGATTTTGAGGATTTGTTCCTGAGTCGTCTTAATCTGGCAGAGGGCTTTCTCAAGTTCCGTTTGCTTTTGCAATATTCGGTGGACGACGGGACGAGTTCTTATCATACAGTCTAATATTGCTGTAGCACAAGCCTGAGTGACGACCTCCTGGGGGTCAGGAGTGCCTGTAGTGCCTGGAGTGGTAGGCAGATGGGAGACAGTGGAGGGGTCTGAATCATTGGTATGGGTTTGGTGGTTAGGTGGTGGTGGTGGTGTGACACCGTGGGTACAGATTGAGGTGTGGGTGGATGGGTTCCCTGGAGGGGGAAGAGGTGGGAAGACCAAAGGGAAGGGGAAGCGGTGGTGGCTGGCTACACCGCTTCTGCCCACGGCCCAAGCCTGATTCCTCTCCCCACCCTGGGTTCCCCTGTTCACTGAGTGATCACTACCCCAGACTGTTGTCGGTCTACTGGGAGCTGAACCATGGCTTGCTGGGGTACTGTCCACGGAGTCATTCCAGCCGCTGTTCACTGGTCCACCTGCGGTTTGATTGGGTGGCCTCGAGACCCGCCATGTAGGCCTCGCGCTGCAATACCTGTTCCAAGCATGGTGGGATGGTGGCATGGTGACCTTCCAAATCTTTCATCTCTCACTGTTTTTTCAAAATGAAAACAAACGGCTTCATAATTTTTCCACACTGTTGAAATTGTCCGAAACGAGCTGGCCACCCACCTGGTGCTCAGAACGCGGCCTATTTTGCAAATCTGTTGTTCAGGTTGAGAGGCACATTCAGATAGTTCCATTTGATTAAGAGGTGATGTATTGTAAACTGAGTACAATTTGTCCATAAATGCTTGAAAATCTTTAATTCCGTAAACTTCTCCCACTGAATTACCTCCTGCAAGTTCTAATCTGTGATTAGGACAGTGCCAGATTATTATATCAGGGGTTGTGTTCCTAGAGAATTGTTGCAACCCCAGATTTGACACCAAGCATGACACTTGTCCCATCACTTACAAATGCTACATGGTTTTGTTTCACGTATTAGATCAAACCCAAGATAATTGAGACAGCTCAATAAATGCCTAGCAATAGTTGCTGCTTTCTGATCAGGTAGTTCAATTAGATCTAAGAACATGAAATGTGAATTACCATCTTTATCACTTTCACATTTCATGTAAACTATTAAAGTTGTTTTAAAAGCTCAGGCTTGTTGATTCATCAATGATAACATCATCTTGCCATTTATCTGCTTGATATGCTGGCAAATTTTCATTTCCATATTAATGACAATGTGATTAATATAGCACTAGTGCGGGAATGCGGTCACATTCCAATGTCAACACCATTTTGCTTTTGTAGTTCCAGTAAGCCAAAGTGATCAGAGTACGAAGAAATATCATAACATTATTAACTTATTAGTGATGTAATACTAATATTCCCTTGCCACGATCAACCATCACCCACAGGTCATCATCTCTCTTTCTCCAATTCCACGATCCACTTACAGAGGTCCCTGAGCGGCACTCCGGAGAACTCTGGTCCATGTGTCTGGTAAATATGCTGATAGGTGTTGTGTAAACTTACGAATTGTCGGACCAGAGGATTAAGGTTTACCATATTGTTTGTGTTCTTGGAGAACGGTATACCATATTGGTGACGAATTATTATTATATTGATACATTTAAATTGTGCATGATAGGGGGGAGTCTTCTGCATATTCTACCGTATTTTTTTATTTATTTATGTAAATATATTTATTTTGTAGGTTCCTCTACTCTGAGGTTTTTATACTCCTGTTAGAATTTCCCTTGGCTTAACAAGAAGGTTAACATCAATCATATTTCCCTAGACAAACTAGTAAACTAGGAATAACTATTTGACCAGAGCAGTAGCCTAGGGACACAGCCAAACTTGTGATTGGGTTCACAAGTGGAAAATCCTTCATGTCATAAGACGTATTTTGGTTCACATGTGGTAAGTGCTGCTTACATCTTATGATGCATTTGGGGTTTCATTTGGTGAGTGTCGTTTACATTATATGATTTCTGGTTCAATATAATTTTACTCATAAAATGCGTAAAATATATATACGCATTTTGGTTCATACTTGGTGACTCCTGCTTATGTCTTATGATGGATTTCCGCTGACTTGCAGTTAGTGCTATTCATGTCATTTGACGCAGTTTGGTTCATGTGTGGTGGACCATTTTGCTAAAAAATATTTATTCAAAATGTTTAGTTTGAGGTAATTTTGTTTTTTATTCAACCTCATTTATTTTGTCTATCCCCTTAATTGTACAAGAAAGTAAAAGTAAAACTAAGGTATATATCCAAGGAAGTATTTATTATTTCTATATCTTTAACTTATTAGCAAAGAAGATATTGTTAGGTATCACACACAGTTGTGACTGGAATTAAGATAACTGCGCACTCCAAGGGTTAAGTGCACAACACATTATATAGACCTGTTATTCTATATTTCATTATGTAGACCAATAAACAGTTTTTGTCGTTGACAAAATAGTAACAAGTGTTAAAGTGTTAATTGTGAACAGTAATTTATTTTGTTTGTTTTCAGCGTATGGGATAAAGTCACTTAAAGGTAATGTCTGCAGAATTATTCTCAATCCACAGGTTCATCTGTTGTTCCTGCTCAGATGAGAAGTGGTTCTTCCAGTCTCCTGTTTCACCTGAAAATATTGGACTTAATGTAATTCACAAATACAGTGAAGAGAGACTGTAGGTACAGGGTGTTATTATTCACTGTAAAGTAATAGATCTTTTACATGTCTCATATTAAAAATATTATATTTCATTAAACGATTGATCATATGTTTTTATACATTCAGGATTAAAACATTTAAACCCAAAATAAAACATGACCACATACAATGACAAGACACATGCACTTCTAGACAGCTGAACGCTGAATGGGACTTCAGTAACAAATCCTTAACAAATTGGGTTACACATTTGGCCCCAAGACACAACTTTGTATGATGCTTAATTATAACTCTCATAATAAAAGTTATTCAATAGTTCAGTGAATTTAAAACCCCAAAACTCGAACTTCCAATCGCTTTATATTGACGTTCTCATCACTGCTCTGTGCACAGAGATCAACAGTTGAAGAAACAAGTCCAGAGGTCTCACCATGACCTGGAGTTAATGCCCTACTCTCTTACTTGCCAGGCAAGTGTTCTGACCAGTATACCCACGATGCCCGACTCACCACTTATTGAGCTTGCATTTTGAAGGAAAAATTAGTGTATCATAGTGATGATGAGTCACAATAAAGTGGCTGAAGAGTTGGTATCCAACCCACACATTTGAAAATGAAGAAACGACTACGTTTCGGTTCGTCCTGGACCTCTACCAGAGTTTCCTCTGCCCTCATCCTGGCCTAGCATATTTCACCATCTTTCGAGCCCCAACAAATCTACTCATGGTACTTGCCGACTGCACAAAGACCCCCTGATCGGCCGGAGCCTCTCGGCAAAATGACAGTCTCGCAGCGTCCTGGCAAGTCGTTTCATAATTTTCAGATGTGTGGGTTGCGTATCGACAAGATATCATCCTCTATATCTTTGCTAAATTCTCAGTTTCCACGAAGATTCTACATCGGTATCCAGGAAAACGAGTTATTTGTAAACATACTTTGTTGCCACAATGTTTTCCTCAGCTTGACCCCAACCTGAGACCACTTTTATGAGACAGATATGATCACATAACCTATACTATAAATTATAGCTACCACAAACATGGGTCTTGCCCACTAATACACACACTTGGTAATGATCCAGGGTGAACAAAACCACCCTTCCATTGTTATGTCTCGAATGTGAGAGTTTTGTGTTATAAGTTTCTGAACGCAAAAAGGTTGAGAAGTTACCAAAATGTCACCCAAAACAAAAAACATATCGCTATACCTGCCACAACAGGTCCAACGTGTAATGTGTTAGGTAGTTATTCTGGCTTAGTGCTTTCTTGACCAGGTTACGTCCACTGGAAGTTAGAAGGGAGATATCGCGACCAAATCTACGAGAGATCGTCTCAGTGACGGCATAAGTGAAGGAAGACAACGAGCACAGGAACTGTCAGCAGGAGAAAACTGCCATACTGGGAAGAGAGCACGGCGAGGAAGCATACTACAAGACATCTGAGGACCCGTGGTTCAAGACCTGTAATTATTTTTCTTAGATTTACTACCATTATTTTAACTTTGCCATTTCACGTCTATCAGCTTTCTGAATGCAATCTATGACATTGCATAGATGGTTAAAAGAGGACACATTTAAACTGCTTAATAGGCCAAACTACTCAGCAGTCCACAACTGTAGTCCAAACCAGAGAGGTGGTTGTACTACAATTTACTACCACCAAGAATTGTCATGCTAAGATGTAATTAGAACTTGGGACAGCAGTGGCGAGTAAATCTTCGCCAGGTTCAGAGTCATTGATGCAGAGGCTGACTTAACTGAGGGAGCAGTGTACAGAACTCCTAACACAGATGTTAATTAATTTAACTCTGACCTTAGAAATTGAATATTAATTAAGCAACGAACTTAACAAAACTCAAATAATACTATAAGATAATTTGAATATTGACCTCTACACATAATAACCTTGAAGTTGCTAGTTTCCTCAACTGAATGAACTCCTCAATGCTTATACTCTTGATAAGCAAACCTTCCAAAATTACTGAAACGACTGCTCACATAACGACTCCTGACCACATCTGGACAAATATAACCTTCCTACTAACTTCAGGAATAATCACTGATGGGACTAGAGACCATTACCCCACATTTATTCTAATCAGCATTAATAACCATCTTTAGATACCATTAAGACTAGCTTTATGCTGCACAATGAAGCTTCCATAAGCAAGTTATTGTTGCTGCTGATAACATCAACTGGGAAACTGAACTCAGTAATAAAGCAAACATCACCCTAATAGTGCAAACTTTTTTTCACAAAACTCTGAGCCTCTACACTACCTCTTGTCGAATGCTAACAAAATAAGTTACGACCAAAGAGATAAAGAACCTACAGGATACTAAGGGAATACTTAAGCCTATCAACAAAAAGCATGATTATGAGAAGAAGTATAGGTTAGAGGTCGTTTCCAAAGAAGTGTCGTGGAGGTCTCATCGATGCTCTAAGATAACTAGGAAAGCTAGAACAAAATATTATGAAAATTAATTCAATCAAATAAAAGGGAAATGTGGAGCACTATTTCTCAGATATTAGGTTCAAAGAAGAAAATGTTTATTAAGAAACAAATATTCCTAGCCAGTGACGATAAAGTGCTACCTGCCTTAAATTGACTACACTGGCATTAAATTCAATAGTTTGTATCTCATTAATTGGCACATCCCTTCCAAATGTAATTTCAGCATCATAAACCAATGTTAATAATGACCGTACAGGCAACTATCCTGAGTCTCCTAACTGTCTTAACTCTCCCTAATTTCTCAGATATTTTTTATATAATCCTCTCATATAAAACCAAGTCAAGTACCACTATTGAGATGCCAGCTATTATTTACAAAAAAGCCTCAAGATTTTCATCTCTGCCATTGCATTGCTCTACAATAAATCACTTGCACTTCGAACCTTCCTTGATATTCTAATGAAAAGTAAGAATAATTCCAGTCCATATCAGTGGTGATCTCTCTGAAGTCAACAATAATAGACCAATATCAATCCTGCCCTCTTTATCTAAAATATTTGAAAAGCTAATGCACAAGCAGATTTACTGTTATCCAGCAAAACAAAATATACTTAATCCTGGCAGATTTAGGACTTCATGAACCAAAAAACACACACATAATTGACGCATTAATTAGTACGATAATATGAGTAACCTCATACATGCAACCCTTGACAAAAATGAGTACTCTATAGGGCAGTGGCGGCTCATGGAAAAGTAGAATGGAGGGACTGCATCGCTACAAGATTCACACAACAACAACAACAATAATAATAATAATAATAATAATAATAATAATGATGATAATAATAATAATAATAATAATAATAATAATAATAATAATGCCAATAATAATAATAAAGAAACATAAATCATATTAACGTGATATATATCAATGATAAAATCCACTAAGACTATAGGGGCCAGATTCACGAAGGTACTTATGAATGTTTTTCTTCTTAGCACCTTCATAGTGGCTACGTCGGTATTCAGATAGGCATACTGTACTAAGAAGGAAAATCTTCGTAAGCTTGCTCCGTCATGCTAAGGCTGCTGTCGACCACTCGTAGCTTTACATAAACTGGATATAACTAAATTTTTCTCTACTACATAACATGAGGATCGATTTTATTATATAAAAAAAATTTAGCTGCAATATTTCGTCAAGAGGCGTCCTTCGTGTTAGTTATATATGCATTCTCTACTTGAAGCTTGCAGTAAATGTCTTTTATGATAATAGAATTAGTTTTATAATAGGAAGACATTATACTAGTAGTTATTAAGTAAATAAACACTGGTGAACATGAAATATGAGAGAAAGTGATGAGCCCTGCCCGATGGGAGCATTTACTATCACAAAGTTCACCTAGTAATAAGTATAGAAGGGTATATATAGGGACACCCCCTATTGTTAATTTATTTTGTTTGGTTTTAATTTGAAATTAAATCTGGGTGAGACAAAATAAAAATATGCTGCACAAATGATGATAGGTTAGGTTAAAAACTTCAAAAAAAATTCTCATTGAATACTTAAACCTATAATTATGACTCTATGAACTATTTAAAAAAGAGAGAGGGAAGTAGAGATCCAAGACCTTTTCCTGTTACACAATTTGGGTGTGTGGAACAAGTAATTATCAAAAGAAGGCACCAAGTTGGGTAGGCTATGTAGCACCATTGTGTGTAAAAATAAACCAATTTTTGTTAACAAATAATGCACCTGTGAGAAATAGATCCTCTCAGCTGTAAAAATATTGATGCAGTTATTTAAAAATAAAATATAATGAAATTTTATTTTATCCTATTTTTTATCCTGGTTTATTTTATCCTATTTTTTTGTACTCTACAGTATATCCAAAGAACTGAAAAATTGAGACATAATGCACAATTTATTGAATGATTCAAAAGAAATATGACTATTACATATCAACATGAGATCTTAATGATCCATGGTTGACATAATTTAATAAGGATAATATTGGTAATAATACAAATTATAATTTAAAATCTTTATTATTGATATTTTTTGTTTTAAGAAGCTTACTTATACACAGCAATGTGCTGCTACCCTATTCTATATGGAAGATTACACAGTGAAGATAAAAAACTAGATATAAGCTCATCTAATACTCCCATCTCACAGAATTGCTAGGTATACATGGAATCGGGGGAGAAAATACCAGCCTCAATACAAAAAACTAATCAACTCTGACTAAATATCTTCACGATTTTCACAAGAGGTAAGCACTGTATCATGGAAACATTATATTATAACTACTCTTACCAGTTTCTACAAGACTCCTCTCAAAAAATGTATTTTTTTTAACATGCTTAAGTATACACAGTAATGTGTTGTTTCCCTATGCTGTATGAAAGACCATATAGTCTAGATAAAAAAACCAGCTACAAGCACATCCATCATCCCACTTCACAGGACGGCCAGTCATACATGGAATCAGGAGAGATCGAAATCTG